CTTATTCAGACTTTGAAGAGGCTGATGAGGCCTTCAATTGTTGAATTCAAGTCCCCGCTGGAGCTGTCGGCCCAGGGTGAGAGTCCTGCACACACACTGATAAACACACACAGAGTCCGGTTGAATGAGCGGATGAACGGCGGTTTGTCCCTGAAGGATTGGTCCAAACCTGTTAAACAGCCATACATCAGGAGGGACACTTTTCCATTGTCCTTCTGTGTCCCACCTCTGGTCCTCGGTGAGGACATTTCATAGAACAGGGCTGATAGATCCGCTTCCTCTTAGCTGTAGATAAACTCCACCATAGCCAGGTTAGATGGACCTTCAGGTCTGCTCAGCTGAACCCTCAGCCTCTGGCTCTAGACCTCAGTGTTCATCTGGGACCTGCAGGAATCCTCCACCAGTCGTCCCAGTGTGGATCAGGATATGGACCTGCTGGTTTTCTGTCCACTGTCGGTACTCTGATTCACCCTCAGCTTTGAAAAGGCAGTTGCAGAGTCATCTGAGAACTTCAGAATAGAATAGAATAGAATAGAATAGAATAGAATAGAATAGACCCCTGGACCCCCCATGAGAACAGATGTCATTCACTCAGATCAACCTTCAGTCCAGCGCTAAGTTTAATAAATGAAATCTTGATTTATTTCATCAAAAAGGTTAGCCACACTATTAGAATAGAACAGAATAGAATAGAATAGAAAATGCCTTTATTGTCCCACAATGGGGAAATCCTGGTGTTACAACAGCAATAAGATTATAGAAAAAGGACCTTAGAAAAAGGTATAAGAAAAACATAATAGTGAAGAGAAACAATAAAATCCTGTAAAGCGTTTTAACAGTTTAAAACTGGAGAATAAATAACCGATAAACAGCTATAGACAGTTATAGTTGGTGCAGAAGTCTCCAGTCTCTCAATGCTGGACTGTCCACTGTCCACTAAGACAGCTGCTGGTCCACCACTGAAAGACCTAGATGGATGGTATGGAAGGCAGTGGAGGAACATGATCCTCACTGTGCTTCTCCAGGTGGCTCATAGTTTGCGGCGCCAGGTGGATGATGTCATCATCCAGCCCAGCGATGACCTCAATAGGGAGTGAAGACGATTAGAAGACGCTCCTCTCAGAGGGACGCAGGCGAAGGTCTGTGGCAGTAGCAGCAGCTTCCATCTTCAGCAGGACAGAGTGGTCCGTCAGAAGCATCTTCCTCTGATGCTCACCTCCAGTTTCCTGCACTCCTGGAGTTCATGCACAGGCTGGAGGGGAAGCAGGCGGTAAGGAGAGGCACTGAGCTGTACGCCTGAAATAAGGAATACAAGGAAAAACAAACGGTTCGGTCTGGATTTCAGAGCCGCCATGTTGCAAAGCTCACAGGCTCACAGTGAGCGTTGAACATGTCAGTAAACCACTTACTGCTACCCCCCCCCCCCCCGTCTGCTTTATTGACCCGCTATGCTCTGCTTCCTCTCCTCCTTTCTGTCGTTTTCTCTTCCTGCTCATAATCTGTATGTCAGCTGGAAGCTGGAGGCCAGAACCCAGAGCTGCAGAGAACATCCTGCTCTGGTTACACTCAGCCTTACCTGCTGCTGCCCCCCCCCACTATGACCGGCTGCTTTATTTTTAGATGATGGATAGAAACACAAAGCTTCAGTATTACCGTCCTGCGTCGGTTACTATGGAAACATGATGATCAGATGAACTAAAGCGCCATCTTTAAGGCGTACGGCGTGAACAGCCATCCCACAGGAAGCCGTAGCTGCAGTGATCAATGCTAACATCTCACTCTAAGGTAAATAAGAGAAAAACATTAAGAAGATTTAGAAAATATAAATGAAAGTTTCAAACATTAATAGTAAAGCAAAGGTGATAAAGTTATTAGAAAGCCGTATCACAGGTTTGCTGATTCCCTCACCTCAGCATGCTGGATCCTTAAAATGAAGAACACGAGTACGGACTCACGTTCTCGTGAAATGAGAAACAGTCCGTGTTTACGGAAGTAAACATGGATGGTAGCGCTGGAGCGCATCTAGAGATCTTTCCCAACCTTTAAAAATGAATCTTCAATGTAAATAATCCGCATCATCGTCCGCCATGTTGTTTTTCTTTCTGCTTCAGTGTGAAAGATGCAGAACAGTGACCTGTGTTCAGTATTAATGATTGAGGTCGGATGAATGCGACCTGGCCGTTCAGACACAGATCGCATTAGAACAGATCAGATTATTATCAGGAGCACAGAGCCAAGCAGGTCGCAGACATCAGATCTGTTCTGTTCAGACATGGAAAGATCTGCTCCAGGCTGCAGACGAGCAGAAAACATCGTATTTGGTCCCTTCAGGCTGCTGTGAACGTAGCCTAAGATGGTTCCTGGAACTTTAGACTTTCCTCCATCTTCCAATGATCCGTCAGCAGCAAACCTTCAGCTGATGTTTTTAGAGGTTCTCCAGGCAGACCTACTGACCTGCTGGTCAGAAGACATCCATGGACTGCTGTGAGCTGCTGTGATGTTCTGCTTTGACCTTTGAACTTTGGAGTTGGCAGCGCGGTTAGCTTCTGGGGGTGTCCACCTTAAACTAACCGTTTCCCTTCCTGTGCTGCAGGTAAAGAAATGATCGAGATGTACTTCGACTTCCGCCTGTACCGCCTCTGGAAGAGCCGCCAGCACTCCAAGCTGCTGGACTACGACGACCTCATCTGACCCCGCCGGCCCCCATGAGGCTTTTCAGCCAGTTCTAACCGGTCTGAGCCTGCAGCTGCACGGCGGCGGGGTGGCGGCCATCTTGAACGACCATCAGGACTCCGGCTCTGCAGCAGAGCGGCAGCGGCGAGCCAGGAGGCGTTTGTTTCTTTCTTGGACAGGCAGACGGTGGCCTCGTAGAGACGTCTGTAACCGTCAGCCATTTTCATTTCTGCCTCCCTCTGGAGGGGGGCGGGAGGAGAGGTCAGCCATCGTCTTCGCCTGGATGCGTCAGTGATGCTGACGGAGAACAGCAGCCTAGCTGTTTCATTCCTTCAGCAGGACTCAGCTCTCTGAGGCTCCTAACCATCAGAAGGATTCCTTTCTTTTCTCAAAGGAAGCAGAATTAGATGTAAATAAAGAGGATTCTGAGTGACGGCGTCTTAGAAACAGCTTTCATTTCTACTAAACCTTTAGGTTTGCAAACTAGAAAGTATAGATGTATTTCATGCAGACTGTTGTCTAAACTCAGGTGAAACCCTTCTGTAGGTCAGAGCTGAAGGCGTTTTTAAGCCCCGCCTCCTCAGAGGAATATGGCTGCTCTGCCGGATGTTCAGACTGATCATTTATTATCACCTCACATGAAGCAGGTGCAGAAAAAATTACTTTGGATATTTTAGCATTTTTCTATTTATTATTCTAGATTTAACTTGAATGAAATGAAGTAGCAATGATTAGGAAAGGCAATACTGTGTTTGATGTTAGAGCTGTTATCAAACCGTTTTTAATAGGAGCCTAGATTATAAAGCTGCGTTCACACCAAACTCAGCAGGAGCAGCAAAAACGCGTCTGCTGCTTCCTTTTTGATGCTCGTACCAGTTTATTTCTGACGCGCGGCTGAAGCAGCTTTGCTGTTCTGGCTGCGCGGTCGACAATTTGGTTTGACGCGCGTTGGGCGGAGCTACCCCATCCTTTCTTTGTCCTGCAGCCATATTTGCTGTGACCAGCGGGTAAAAGTAGTTAGAATCTATGTTGAAGTGAGAAAGTCCTCCTGAAAACATGGTCTGTGCAGTCAGTTCATCCAGATTACCATCCTGCCTTCAAAGATTATTTCTCTGTGGGAGCCGCTCAGACCCCCACATACCGGCGCTGCGCTGTCACTGGGAATCCCCAGCAGCAGCTGCCTCAGGCCCGCTCGCCTCTCCAGGGTTTTCCCCTCCTGTTGGTGGCGGCTGGAAGTAGATGTTAGCGTTTTTCAGGTCTGTGCTACAAACTGCAGGCAGCAGGATAATAAAAGCCAACATATTCTGCCGGCAGGTTTCTACATTTGAAGTTAATTTAGGCGTTAATAAACTGTTCCAGAGGAGTGATCATAGCGCTCTGCATCAGCAGTGCTGCGTCTGACTCCCTGCCAGCTCCCAGATCAGCTTCTCTCATTGGTTGATGCGGCTCGTCCAGCAGATAAAGTTACATTTTTCCATCTCGAGCAGCTGCTGCGTTTGCAGCGCGTCAGATGCTCAAACGCTCCCCACGCTCTGCGCCTGATGCTCAAAAAGCGCTGCAGGACATTTTGCTGCACCTTGATGCGCGTCACCCATTGACTTGCATGTTAGCTTAACCTGCGTTTGGTGTGAACGCAGCTTCAGATGGAAAACGGTTTATGGTGTTATGATATAAAACATTAGCAAACACCTTTCCTGTTAAAACCTGCTTATTTGATAATGTCTCATATTAATACTTTATTATAGTTAGCAGGTGTTTTCTCTCTAAGGACTTCCTGTGTTTCTACCACATTTATCACAATGGTTCTCCTAATATTTCTCACCTGTATGATCCTCATGTTGAATCAGATTTTAATCTAGTTTAAGATGGTTGCGATGTAAATTCAGTTTTGTTGAGTTCAAAGTGATTTCTTGCTAACAGTTGTCCTGCTCTGACCTTCATGAGGACAGAAATGATTTGTTTCCTGCAGGACTTATTTACCTGCTGTGATCTGCTGACCAATCAGAGTCGCTTTAATCCATCAAACACCATCAGGCTGATGAGGAGGTTCCTGCAGGAAGAACATAAACATTGTTCATCTGGATTCATCATGGAGGAGCCAACAGAGAGCGTCAACATCTAGCCTGACCTTTGACCTCAGGATGACATTAGGTCATCAGCTGACTGCATGGACTGCTTTATTGTCCGCTGTCTGTGGCGTCTTTTCCTGAGGTGATGGAAGGCGCCTCATAGTGCACATGTGAAGGCCATTTATTGATGCACATGTGAAGGCCATTTATTGATGCACATGTGAAGGCCATTTATTGATGCACATGTGAAGGCCATTTATTGATGCACATGTGAAGGCCATTTATTGATGCACATGTGAAGGTAATTTATTGATGCACATGTGAAGGCCTTTTATTGATGCACATGTGAAGGCCATTTATTGATGCACATGTGAAGGTAATTTATTGATGCACATGTGAAGGCCTTTTATTGATGCACATGTGAAGGCCATTTATTGATGCACATGTAAAGGCCATTTATTGATGCACATGTGAAGGCCATTTATTGATGCACATGTGAAGGCCATTTATTGATGCACATGTGAAGGCCATTTATTGATGCACATGTGAAGGCCATTTATTGATGCACATGTGAAGGTCATTTATTGATGCACATGTGAAGGCCTTTTATTGATGCACATGTGAAGGCCATTTATTGATGCACATGTGAAGGTCATTTATTGATGCACATGTGAAGGCCTTTTATTGATGCACATGTGAAGGTCATTTATTGATGCACATGTGAAGGTCATTTATTGATGCACATGTTGATGCACATGTGAAGGCCATTTATTGATGCACATGTGAAGGTCATTTATTGATGCACATGTGAAGGCCTTTTATTGATGCACATGTGAAGGCCATTTATTGATGCACATGTGAAGGCCATTTATTGATGCACATGTGAAGGCCATTTATTGATGCACATGTGAAGGTCATTTATTGATGCACATGTGAAGGCCTTTTATTGATGCACATGTGAAGGCCATTTATTGATGCACATGTGAAGGTCATTTATTGATGCACATGTGAAGGCCTTTTATTGATGCACATGTGAAGGTCATTTATTGATGCACATGTGAAGGTCATTTATTGATGCACATGTTGATGCACATGTGAAGGCCATTTATTGATGCACATGTGAAGGTCATTTATTGATGCACATGTGAAGGTCATTTATTGATGCACATGTGAAGGCCTTTTATTGATGCACATGTGAAGGTCATTTATTGATGCACATGTTGATGCACATGTGAAGGCCATTTATTGATGCACATGTGAAGGTCATTTATTGATGCACATGTGAAGGCCATTTATTGATGCACATGTGAAGGTCATTTATTGATGCACATGTGAAGGTCATTTATTGATGCACATGTTGATGCACATGTGAAGGCCATTTATTGATGCACATGTGAAGGCCTTTTATTGATGCACATGTGAAGGCCATTTATTGATGCACATGTGAAGGCCTTTTATTGATGCACATGTGAAGGCCATTTATTGATGCACATGTGAAGGCCTTTTATTGATGCACATGTGAAGGCCATTTATTGATGCACATGTGAAGGCCTTTTATTGATGCACATGTGAAGGCCATCCCTCTCATTTTTTATTATCTACATTTAATACAGCCAAAAGGAATCTAGTTTAAAAGTTCTGCTCCCTATTCCTTGCTTCCTGTTCCCTACAACCTGCTCCCTATTCCCTGTTCCCTATTCTCTGCTCCCTATTCCCTGCTCCCTATTCCCTACACCATGCTCCCTATTCCTTGCTCCCTATTCCCTACAACCTGCTCCCTGTTCCCTATTCTCTGCTCCCTATTCCCTGCTCCCTATTCCTTGCTTCCTATTCCTTGCTTCCTATTCCTTGTTCTCTATTCCCTGTTTCCAAATCCCTACACCCTGCTCCCTATTCCTTGCTCCCTGTTCCCTACAACCTGCTCCCTATTCCCTGTTCCATATTCTCTGCTCCCTATTCCCTGCTCCCTATTCCCTACACCGTGCTCCCTATTCCTTGCTCCCTATTCCCTACGACCTGCTCCCTATTCCCTGTTCCCTATTCTCTGCTCCCTATTCCCTGCTCCCTATTCCTTGCTTCCTATTCCTTGCTTCCTATTCCTTGTTCTCTATTCCCTGTTTCCAAATCCCTACACCCTGCTCCCTATTCCTTGCTCCCTGTTCCCTACAACCTGCTCCCTATTCCCTGTTCCCTATTCTCGGCTCCCTATTCCCTACACCCTGCTCCCTATTCCCCACACCGTGCTCCCTATTCCTTGCTCCCTATTCCCTGTTCCCTATTCCTTGCTCCCTATTCCCTACACCTTGCTCCTTATTCCCTGCTCCCTATTCCTTGCTCCCTATTCCCTACACCCTGCTCCCTATTGCCTGTGGCCTATTCCCTACACCCTGCTCCCTATTCCCTTCTCCCTATTCCTTGCTCCCTATTCCCTACACCCTGCTCCCTATTCCCTGCTCCCTAATCCTTGCTCCCTATTCCCTACACTCTGCTCCCTATTCCTTGCTCCCTATTCCCTACACCTTGCTCCCTATTCCCTGCTCCCTATTTCTTGCTCCCTATTCCCTACACCCTGCTCCCTATTGCCTGTGGCCTATTCCCTACACCCTGCTCCCTATTCCCTTCTCCCTATTCCTTGCTCCCTATTCCCTACACCCTGCTCCCTATTCCCTGCTCCCTATTCCTTGCTCCATATTCCCTACACTTTGCTCCCTATTCCTTGCTCCCTATTCCCTACACCCTGCTCCCTATTCCCTGCTCCCTATTCCCTGCTCCCTATTCCTTGCTTCCTATTCCATACACCCTGCTCCCTATTCCCTGCTCCCTATTCCTTGCTCCCTATTCCCTACACCCTGCTCCCTATTCCTTGCTCCCTATTCCCTACACCCTGCTCCCTATTCCCTGCTCCCTATTCCTTGCTCCCTATTCCCTACACCCTGCTCCCTATTCCTTGCTCCCTATTCCCTACACCCTGTTCCCTATTCCCTGCTCCCTATTCCTTGCTCCCTATTCCCTACACCCTGCTCCCTATTCCTTGCTCCCTATTTCCTACACCCTGCTCCCTATTCCTTGCTCCCTATTCCCTACACCCTGCTCCCTATTCCTTGCTCCCTATTCCCTACACCCTGCTCCCTATTCCCTGCTCCATATTCCTTGCTCCCTATTCCCTACACCCTGCTCCCTATTCCTTGCTCCCTATTTCCTACACCCTGCTCCCTATTCCTTGCTCCCTATTCCCTACACCCTGCTTCCTATTCCTTGCTCCCTATTCCCTACACCCTGCTCCCTATTCCTTGCTCCCTATTCCCTACACCCTGCTCCCTATTCCTTGCTCCCTATTCCCTACACCCTGCTCCCTATTCCTTGCTCCCTATTCCCTACACCCTGCTCCCTATTCCCTGCTCCCTATTCCTTGCTCCCTATTCCCTACACCCTGCTCCCTATTCCTTGCTCCTTATTCCATACACCCTGCTCCCTATTCCCTGTCGCCTATTCCCTACACCCTGCTCTCTATTCCCTTCTCCCTATTCCTTGCTTCGTATTCCCTACACCCTACTCCCTATTGTTGGTCCCTATTCCCTGTTCCCTATTCCTTGCTCCCTACTCGGCTCCTTTCCACCCAGATCTCTGGTGTTGCCTCTTCCCCTCTGATCTCAGGTCCTACTGAAGAATCTTCTTCATCTTTCAGAGATCAAACCTTTTTCTGCTGATGTATTAGCTGTAGTCCAGCTCAGCAATCAGTTGCCTCTATGGTGTTAAATTGCTGCCAGAAATCAGAAGAGCGCATTAAGCAATCATAATAGTGCAATTATTAATCACATCCGTGCATTTAGTAACCCAAACAGCGTGTTACCTGCAGTTCTCTGTGTCTCCATTTTAATCATGCAGATTGTCTTTCATTCATTCTCTGCGTTTATGGTCATTTATGCAAAACACAAAATCCTCATGGCTCAGGCTCGTCACCAAAGGAACAGCACCTTATGAGGATCAATATTTCCTTTGAATACATCAATATCTGCATTAAACTGCTTCCACTTTACAGTTG